GCCGCCGGGGCCCCCCAATGCCCACCGCCCGGGGCTGCGGCAGCCGCGGTCCCAGCACGTTGGCCACGCCGTCCTCCTCTTTGCAACCCACCACTCATCTAATGAGCCGTGAGCTTGTGACAGGCTCTTACTGGGGAGGTAAACCCCCCGTGGGCCATCACGATTATGGTGACCTACTCTCAGAGGAGCTACTCCAAGCCAAGAAAGGCAACGATGAAGCCTCCGTGACAGATTTTTCTATTTATCGGTTTGTAAGGATGCCAGGAGAGACGCGCTCCACATCCAGCTGAAGAGCATCCCTTCTACAGCTTCTCACCTTGCAGAAGTCAAGCCCCAACTTAAAAACCTTTTTAAAGCAAGCAAAGGCAGCAGCTCCGCTCCATGCCAGACGTCTCCGCTGGGAATAACAGCTCCAGGCGGGACCCGGGAGCTTTCCGATGTCGCAGAGGGGATGGTGCCCTCTCCTCACAGCTCCCCATCCCACCGCAGCCCCAGTTGGCACCAGGGAGCCAGCGCGTGGTTTCATGGACTGTAGGTTTGCTAACCATAAAACCAGACGTGGGAAGGCACCGGAGGCAGAAAGGCTGAGCGTGCACTGCCAGGGGACACTTCTTGGAGCAAGGGCCGCTTCCCGCAGCCACCAGCCAGCCTCAGAGACACCAGCCCTGCTCCCTCGCCCCCAGCCAACTTTCCTCACCAGCTATTTAGTCAATGAGTTTGAACAGCAGAACGGTGGAGACGGATTTGGCCCAACACCACCACATTCTTGGCAACGACCGTCTCATCTAGAGGCAGGAGTGGCCAAGTCCTCCCTGGTGTGCTCGGGCACAGGTCCATCGCCATCTACATCAGCAACGCCGTGACAATTTGCATTCCTGAAAACGCAACCCAAGCTCTCCCTTTGGCTCCTATGTTCTGACTTCAAGAGTATTTCCAGGACGTCTTCTGAAGGGATTTTACGCCTCAGGGCATCAATCCCCAATTCTTCTGCTTATTAAGGAAAGATTTGT